AAAAACAAGTATTATACATCTGAAATGGATGCAGTCACCACATAACTAATGTCTGTATTGTCAAAAATGAACAGTAGTCAAAGGGATTTCAAATCAGTTTATTAAAGGGGTCATATGATGCGATTTCAAGTTTTCCTTTCTCTTTGGAGTGTTACAAGCTGATTGTGCATAGATAAGATCCCTGAAGTTGCAAAGACTAAAGTCTCAAAACCAAAGAGATATTCTTTATCAAAGTTAAGACTCTGCCACGCCACCCTAAAACGGCTCGTTCTAACACGCCCCCACATATCTACCTCACTATGTGGAAATATTTGCATAATGCCGCCCAAATGTGCATGCAAAGAAAGAAGGCGTGGTTTCAGTAACCGCAGTTAGTGTTGATGCAGCCATGTCAGGGAGACGCTGTGTGTTTCTAGAAGAAAGCAAAAGCACTTTATTTGGCCTTCCGGAAGTAGATGCATTTAGGAATCTTTAAGATTACTTACAACAGAACAGCAATGTTTTTTTTTTTTTTTAACAAAACAACTTTATTACATCACTTTTTCAATTCATCAAAAATTATTTTTTATACAGGACGCCTCTAAACCTTTATGAGCAAATACATCCTTTTTATCCTCAAAGCGAGAAGAAAAAAGGGACAGCTCACCCAAAAATGAAAATTGAGATCGTTTGCTCCAGCTCATGTCGTAATTTAGCCAGAGACAGTGAGTGCTACGCTCTAGTTGTTGATTTTGGTAGCTTTAATTTGGTAGGTTTTTGATCACGCACTTTTAATTATTTAATGACTAAGCTGGAAGACATCTTTTTACTGAGGCCCGTGTGCCTGATCTCATTAAATGATCTCATCTTTTTATACATTAGACAAGCAGCTAATTCAAGATTGATGAGATATGTGCAAGACGCGTCCTCAAACAGCTCAGGCCTCACAACATATGTAACTTTGAGTGAAATAAATGAAAGCTAATACACTAGAGACAAGCCAGATATCATGAAGTGTAGAAATGATCTATAGCTGCCCAAGGTTATTAATCAAACATTTGTGTGTGTGTGTGTGTGTGTGTGCGCGTGCGTGCGTGCGTGTGTGTGTTTCTGTCTGTCGGTGTGTCTCCCAGATCAAAAAGTAACAGCAAGAACAGCCGTATTTTTTCAGTGAACAGATGCAAGTCATGAGTTCATGCATCATTAAATGTTTTAATGAGCAGATCTCATCATCTCCCTCTTCATTTAACTCCCATAATGCACAATACATCTTTTCAAAAAAGTAACTGACAGGACACAACAGTGACTGATATTCTTTTATAATGAACTGAGGTTCCAGAGTCAAAAATAATAACAAATGTCTTCCACATTTAAAGTTAGATTTTGAGGAGAACTTGCCAAACAAGGCATCATTTCATATGGATAATTAATTAATTAAAATAAATAAATAAATATTATCTAATTTACATAAATTAAAATATATTTTTTGTCTAGCTGCAAATAATACATATTTTCAATTACATGTATTATTTGACCAGGGTTATTATAGTTAACTAAAACAAAAAAAACAAAAAATTTAATATAAAATTATATATTAGTGCTGGGCAACGATTACATTTTTTAATCGTGATTAATTGCATTATGCACAAAATTCAATAATGAATTCAAAAGTAGTGTATTGTGCACTTTTTTCATTTAAAAGTACTGCTATATGAACAAAAGTGCAATAACATTTGGTTTGCAAACACTTTAAACAAATAAGGTGCTTTTTTACAGCAGTATTCCTTTTACATGGTAGCAGTTAAAATATTTATTGTAAATCTCAACTTATAACATTAATGTAATCAAATTAAATATAAAACCAAAGCTATTTGCCACTGCCAGGGCATTAACGTTTTTATAGAAAATATTTTATAATTTGTTATAGAAAAACAAGTTCTGCTCAGAGTCCAGAGCCTCGATCATAACATTATAACAGGCTTCCTAGTAGAAAACTGCACCATCGCGGGACCCAACGCAGCAGAGTGTGGCGTGGGACAACACTTGATGGGCGAGTGCGGCTGCGGGTGGGTAGAGACTTGTGTGTGCGGGATGCGGGAAAATAAGGGTGTATCACACTAGGCAATCTTAACCATGCCCGAGCACGTCTGACCCCCAAAGCCCGGTTCGTTTGACTAGTGTGATCGCTCCGTGCCGCGGTTCGTTTTGCCGGCCCTGGCTCGGTTGGAAGAGGTGGGCCAGAGTGCGGTACGCATGTAGTGTGAGCGGAGCGAGGAACTTCTGATACATGCAGCATGATTGCGTGAACATTTCTGAGCGGCAAAAGTGATAGATCTGTAAAGCAATATATTGTGAGAGTGCCATGTGTGTTACCGCGTCCCAAACGACTCATAATAACAAATCACAAAGTTAACAAAACGATGCACTCCACTGTGCTGAACAAGAGCGTTTCTCTGCTGTCTTCACGTGCTATCGGAAACGTCCTATTTCCCACTTATGAAGTCGTGAGCGCTTTTTGTGAGCGCTGCTGCAGTCTTAGGCCCACCCCAAATGCTCTCATTGGTTGAGACGCGTGGTGACACCCATCCCAAGCCAATACTGATCAACATCCCACCCCTCCTGTGACCCATGGTTTGTCTGTATGTGTATTCAGAGCCAGTGAGCAACGGACCTTCATAATAAAAAACTGCGTTAACGCGCGATAAAATAATTGTCTGCGTTAACGCAATAATAACGCGTTAACTTGCCCAGCTCTATATATATACAGTATATATATATATATATATATTATAATTTTACACATAGTTCGGCACGTGCTAGGACCGCGGTTCAACTTAAATCTGACAACGCATCGGTAATACGGTTTGCTATCAATAACGCGTAAAACAAACAGGGTTCGGCTAATATATGTTTCTGTTGATGGATGCGCATTCTGGCTTCCCAATACATGACAACAACAGCGATGAAAAAAAAAAAAAGTGGACAAACCATTCACTTTTGTTCAATGCGAATGCGGTATGCTGGAATATGAGCATTTATTCCATCATCACCGGGGTGCTGATAGCGCGCGCGCGCGCGCACAGGTGAGACCTGAACAGCACACGTTGATATCTGTGTTTAAGCTAAACTTGTTTAAGCTTTGCCAGTTTAAACATTTAAGAGCCAGAGGACGCGAGCTCGCGCGCGCAGTGAGAGGATCTGTGCATGAGCTCATTTGAAGCGCACAAACCCGCGTCTCAGAACGCGCGCAAATATTAAGCTTTCTCTTAAATATTGTGTTTAAATGGACAAATTCACACAAAAATTACGTCAAAATGCCCATCTTGGTAAGTATCCTATAGCAGACATAGCCGGCTGAACATACTGTATCAGTGCATTCTCTTAAAGTGACAGCACTTTCTTAATATTAATCAAACAGCAACAACAAAGAAATCACTCACTGCTCTTGACTGAATAGCTTTTGTAACTTTAATAAAGATTAATCTTTAATTTATACAGTCAAATATGCAATGCTGTTTTACATTTCATTACTTTATTCAATTTCTGTACCTAAAAACTAATGTTAGACCTACCTAAAAAAACCTGAAAATCACTGTTTATTTTATTTGTATCTTTACTCTACTGTATTTATTTGTGCTGTTGCTTGTAGTTAGATTATTCTTATTTTCTTTTTTCTTTTTTATTTGACAGTATAGTTTTTGCCTAAACATAGCACATACCGAACCATACCGAAACCGTGAACCGTGAACCGTGATACAAACTGAACCGTAAGTTGAACCGTTCCACCCCTAAATATATATATATATATTTCAAAATATTAATAAAAAACAAACTAGTATCTCAATGGTGCTAATATAACACTGCCTGCGACTGTATTGAGGAAATATTATTCTTTTATTTTATATATTATATAATTGATTATATATTATTTTATTTATTTATTGTTAGTATATTTTATTGTTTTTTATTTTATTTTACTATTTTATTGAATATATTTATTATTATATTTTATTTTTAGTATAATTTCTTTCAATTTACACCTTTTAACATCTTTTTTATTTTGTGTTTTAAAAGGGCAACAACAGAAAGAGAAAGGGCAATGTCATTTACAATCCGGAAAGCTTGATAACTTCAACCATTTTTTTTGAAGCAGAACATCACAACAGAACATTGTGGAAATGGCACATACATATTCAACTTGACAATCTGTCAACCCCTCTGGATTTCAGCAATGCCCAGCCCAGAGCTGAAGCCAAATGTAATTAACCTTTATGAACAAGCAGAGTCTGTTGAGCAGAATTCAGACAGACGCTAGAAAATTAAAGGTTAAATATGGCCCGGTTGATGAGAAAAAGTCTTGAGCCTCTTCCAACATTTTCAGTGTTTAAACAGTCAGATTAACTTTTGATTGAAGCTTTAATCAGTTTAATAAGTTTAGAGAGTAAAATGAAATGCTCTTTTGATTCCCAATGATGAAAGCAACAGGATCTAGGGAGTTATATTGCTGATTGTCCTCCTGTAGGTTTGTCTATGCAGGGTTTGAGATTTGTGAATTTAATCCATAGCCTTATTGGCTTGTAGAAAATGGATAGCCAGACTGATTTGTACGGCATAATGTTTGTGTATTTTGCAGTGTGTCCTTGGCATCATCTCTAATAGCATTACTTGTCACAGTTTGTCACAGTTAATAAGAAAGAACATGGTTTAATACAATCCCTGCTGTATATAAAAAAAAGCTTATTTCAGCTTAAAGGTCCCATGGCATGAAAATTTCACTTTATGAGGTTTTTTAACATTAATATGAGTTCCCCTAGCCTGCCTATGGTCCCCCAGTGGCTAGAAATGGCGATAGGTGTAAACCGAGCCCTGGGTATCCTGCTTTGCCTTTGAGAATATAACTATATACATAAACTGTAAACTAGTTGGATTTAATTTATGCCTTACCAGTCTGTCATTCTCTGTCTTTCTCCATGCTTCATGCATAATAAAATGCTCTTTCATTTTCCCTTTGTGGCATACAGGAACACGGAGCAGCTGGGAAGGCTTACTGGGACCCATCCTGCCCTCTCAGATCACTGCAGTAACATCACTCTCTGCTCCTGGAGTGACCCTACTTACTGGAAACTGGAAGAAGCAAAGAGCAACAGGTGAGAAAACACATAATATAATACAATTTTAAGCAGCATTCTCACAATTGCTTTCGTAGTGTATGCCAACATGATTTCATTAGTATTCATAGGTATTTGTGCACCATTCAAAAGTGTGGGGTCAAAGAATCCAGAAAAAAAAAAAATATATGACGGTTTGCACAAAAATATTAAATAGCACAACTGTTCTCAACACCGATAATAATAAATATAAAAATGTTTCTTGAGCAGCAAATCAGCATATTAGAATGATTTCTGAAACATCATGTGACACTGAAGACTGGAGTAACGATGCTGAAAATTCAGCTTTGCATCACAGGAATAAATTACGTTTCAAAATATATTGATATAGAAAATAGCTATTTTAAATTGTAATAATATTTCATAATATTGCTGTTTTTACTGTATTTTTTTTTATTATACAAATGCAGCCTTTGTGTATTTGCATGTTCTTTAAGTAAAAATACCTATAAATAAGATCATCTGGTAGAGAAGTTTTGGACATCATTCTACCTGTCTAACAATGGACAGAGCCATCATAAGTTACATATTTGAATAAAAATTACCTTTTTATGAAAACATAATTTTATTCCTGCCTAGGCCATTTTTATTTAATAGAGTAACTGCACCATCTCTGAAGTGAGGAATTTTCTTCTAAATTGCATCATTTTTATTTTTTTTTTGACATTTTTTGCAAAAATACCAATGGAGACTTTAATTAAAAGAGACTACTAATGGAGACTTGAATTAAATGACATCTACTATATAGCCTTTCACATTTATTGCTGATAAGGTAGAGAAAAGGATGACAAGTAAGTATTCTTCACCTGCTTTTCCCGTCTTCGTGAAATTTATTTTGCGATTTATACAAGACAGATCTGAGTATGCACACTCTAGCCAACAAAACTGACCAGATTTGACATGTCCAGCAATGTTCAACCATCGTATTCTTTCCTTCTACATTATGGTCTGTATTCCTGTGACATATTTTGGACAGCAGCCTTGTGTTTATCGCTGCATAAACAGCTTGTGATTCAACTAGTCGCCACACAGATATTCTTCTCCATTGTCTTACATCTACGTAAGACCTCAGAGTGGAAGCTTGCCACGGAAGTGTCTGCACTGACAGAAACAGATGAATGGTTTGTGTAGGCGTGGATGAGAGGTTTCCCATCAATGCTTCCAGCTCTGTGATGATGACTGATATAAATCAAACAGGATCTTCATTCAGCCTTTATTGCAAAGCAGTTGCTTGTTGTAATACAAAGAGTTGCTATGGGGCCAGAACAGTTTCATCCAACTTTAATCAGGATTTGTCAGTGCTAGTTGTTTTATAAGTAATCCATTACTAGCTGTTCCCCCACGCCCCCTTTAACTGTATACATACACTACCGTTCAAAAGGTTTTTTGTTTTATTTAGTTTTTTGAAGAAACTGGATCAAGTTTGTTGACACACTTTGATATTGGCTTGTCTGAAAGTTTAAAATAACTTTTAAAAGCTTAAAGTTTGGAGGTTATACTCAGTCTGAAAAAGTCAGACAGGCCAATAAAAACTCAGACCATACTTAAAACCCTATTAGAACTCATCAGACTGCTAAACCACAAAACCAGACCTTTAAAAGATCTTCTAGGAGTTTCTTAAGTTTTGTTAGCACGATTTAACATGTCGGTAGCATATTTTAGCAAATGTTTGGCTCTATGTTCTAGCAAATTGTCAACATGTTTTGGCACATTGCTAAATGCACATTGCACAGTGTTTTAGTACATTTCTAACATATTTAACAAGTTGCTAGCATACATGGCTGGCATGTTTTAGCAAGTTGCTAGTATTTTTAACAAGTTGCTAGCATGTTTTATGTTGCTGGCATGTTTCTAGAATATTTTAACAAGTTGCTAGCATTGCATGTTTTGTGTTGTTAACGCATTTTAGCATGTTTGTAGCATATTTTAACACATTGCTGGCATGTTTTACCAAATTGTTGGCATGTTTTAACAAATTATTCACATTTTAACATGCTCTAACACATTAGTAGCATGTTTCCAACACTATTTAACATGTTGTCAGCATGTTTTAGAAAGCTGCTAGCATGTTTTAACATATTTTGCATGTTTGTAGCATATTTTAACAAGTTGCTAGCATGTTTTAACAAATTGTTCACATGTTTAACATATTCTAACACATTGCTAGCATGTTTCCAGCATGATTTGAAATGTTGCATAGCATATTTTAACGTTTGTATCATATTTTAATAGGTTGCAAGCATGTTTTAGCTCTTGCTAGCACGTTTTAACAATAAACAGCTTGTGATTCCACTATTCACCACACAGATTGCGCATCTGAAAGTTCTTTCAAAAATAATAACATTAAAACATTCTTAAAAACTTCCTAACTATTCCAAACTTTTGAACAGTAGTTTATGCTAAATTCATGCTGTTTTTGTCTGATCTGTAATAGTGGTCCTTTAAAAAGCCAAGTTCAGCCATATAACATTTATCACTATATTCAAGGCCTCTCACGTCATTTGGCTGCTTTGTGTGAGGAAAAGACTGAAATTGATGCAATCATTCTCTCTCTCAAACCTCATTTGCAATTGAATTTGTCAAATGTATATTCAAGTTAACCACTTGTATTTCCTCTCAGAATTAATTGTTTGCATGCCATATACTTTACAGTATATATGTAGAATCAAAACAATCTTTAGCAAATACCATTCCCACCTCTGAGCATGAGCTTTTCTGCCTGACTTTCTTTGTTGTTTTATCCAAAGCTGCTGAATTCAGTATGCAGCCTGTTTGAGTTTAATTTCATGCAGGACAAAAGATCAAGCAGCGCATTTGATTTCCACTTCACCTTATGCTTGCCACATCTAATTCATACCTTTCCATGGAGATAAAGTGAAAATTATTTTGGGCTAGACTGAGTTTGAGTGTGTTCAAACTCTTTATGTAGAAGTGACTGACGGCGTAGTGTATAATGGTTTCTACCATTAATGAGAGTCTCAGTGTGTTGTTTTCTCATTGATTTGCCTGCCAGCTGTTAGGTGGTTGTTATCAGAAGGTTTTACTCATCAACTGAGGTTCAGAATGTGTTGCAATGTCTTTTGATAACTTTTTGATGTTGCTTATAATGTGATTTTTTTTTTTGTAATACATTATTGATTTTCTGAATGTTCTGTCAATATTCATAAAGAGCAAATAGCATTTAATTGCTTGTACTCAATGTGGTACACTGTTTCTGTGGGGAAAAAAAGGTGTAGAAACAATTCTCACTCAGAAATTGCTAGTAAGTTTCACAGTTAATTACAACTAAACAGCAAATAACACAATGAATTAAATATGAAATGTTGAAGTAGAAAGACTGAAATAGTATTTCCTTGTAAAATGTACTATTTGTTTTATTTACAACTTTGATTTTTTGTTTAGATGTTTGGAGTAAAAATGTAGTTAAACCAGTAATATTGTGAAATGTTATTACATCTTAAAATAACTGCTTTCTATTTTATTATATTTTAAAATATAATTTATTTCTGTGTTCAAAGCTGAATTTTCAGCATCATTAGCCTACTCCAGTCTTCAGTAGCCTTCAGAAATCATTCATTAATATCAATATATTAATTAATATGCTGATTTGGAAACATTTTGTTTATAAATATCAATACACACACACACACACACACACACACACACACACACACACACACATATATATATATATATATATATATATATACATACAGTATATGTATATATAGAAAGCTAAGGAATTGCAGCCAATCAGTGAATGATACTGTAATATACACACATCAGCATACTTATAACTGAACTCATGTATTCATATATGCAAATGAAGGCGCCCCTCTTTTCTTAATGATAGCTCAGCTTAAAACAGAAGACAAAATGAAATATCTCTCAGTAAACTGATTTTAAACTGATGTTTTCATTATGGGAATTCATTGATTAATTTAGATGCCACCACCATTTGATTAGTAGATGAAGTGAACATGAATTGTCTTTTAATGTTTTACTTGAATTAAATGTACTATTAATTAGGCACTGATTGTTTGAATACATAATATGAATTTTGTCTTCCCGGGGGTATTGAGCATTTATCTCTGTCCTCAGATAAGATTTTGGAATTGAAGAAGCCATCCTGCACAGACGCCTTAGTGCTCCACCGTGATCCAAACCCAAAGGCTAAAGCTGAGGTTTGTAATCCTCATCTTTCTCTTATTAGCTGTAATTGATTCTTAAAAACATGTTATAGGCTACATCAACATAATTGTCATTGCCATACTGTTTGTTCGTTGCCAGACTTTGGTCCTTATGAAAATTGTTTTGGATTGTCTTAGAGGCAGAAAGAATATCAAACTGATTTGTGGAAAAGGTCAGACTGTGGGCACAATCATATTTGGAGTCCAATTAAGTTTGAGTTAATAATCGCTTTTGTTGAAGTGTGCTTCACCACAGAGTCCCCCATAGGTGACGGCCTTTAAAGGGGTCATATGATGCTGCTAAAAAGAACATTATTTTGTGTATTTGGTTTAATGAAATGTGTTTATGCGGTTTAAGGTTAAAAAAAAAACATTCTTTTCCACATACTGTACATTATTGTTTCTCCTCTATGCCCCGCCTTTCTGAAACGCATCGATTTTTACAAAGCTCATCGTTCTGAAAAAGTGAGGTGTGCTGTGATTGGCCAGCTATCCAGTGCGTTGTGATTGGCCGAATACCTCAAGCGTGTGACGGAAATGTTGTGCCCCTCGTTGTGCCCCTCACCATCCTGTGATGATGCCCTGTCCGGCCGAAGCGATGATTCAAAAACATGAAAACCCATTAGGTTTTCATGTTTAGGTTTAGGTTTCAAACGAGGCATTTGTTGCATCCAGTGGGGACATAATTATGGATTATAATGACTTATACTGTCTTTTTACGCGTTGCGTTGCATCGCGCCGCGTGAACATAAAACCATGTCTGCATTTGTGATCGGAGAAATGACAAACAACAAG